ATATGGAGCTAATTTGTTAGTTATTTTGGTGGCATTAGCTAATTTAGGATGTGAAGATGTGTGTTGGTCACCTGACTGAATGTTTACTGAGGGGGACACCTGACAGCAGACGGGTTGTTGTATTTTCTCTTCAGATTAATGAAATTATCTCTCTGACATCAGATTATACAAACAGTCGGCGTGTCTTCAAGAGATTACAACACACTGCTGAGTGAGTGTGTGTGTGCGTGCGTGTATGCGTGCGTGTGTGTAATCCCTGTCCAGAGATGTCAGTCTGATTAGTGTTGTGGCCCAAATCCCTGATCATATTCATAGGATTATTGTTTGAAGATGTGTGTGTGTGATGACTTGAAGACAGGGATTAGTGTGTGTGTGTGTGTGTGTGTGTGTGTTATCAGTATAATCTGTGTTAAGATGCTTCCTGCCTGTTCAGCAGCTCCTAAACTTAAAACACTCATTAAACACACAAGCATGCTGGTACATTAACACAGGTTGATAAAAAAGATAAAAATGAAAGTTACAGTTTGTCATTTCTGGACCAATCAGCAACTTGGATGCAGAATAAGGGATCAGGAGGTCTGCGACATAAAAGGGGCGGGCCAGGAAGGAATTTATAGACAAACAGGAGAGCCTATGTCTAGGTCGGAGGATTTAAAGGTGTGGACAACACGAACTTGCTATAAAGGCGGAATCAAATATTACAGCAAGGACATGAGGTTTATTGAGGGTGGACAGGTTGTCACCTCGATGGATTCAGGGGACCAAATAAAACAATTTCTGACTTGGTTTCGTGCCAAAAACAGCTCCTCACAAACCTATGGGGGACGTCACCAAGACAGTGTAACCATCAGTGACATCCAATGACCGTGAACAGCATCATAGTATCATCAGCATAATGGATGACAAACACTATAACTGACTGACACTTGGGTTTGGCAGATATCAATTCCTTTCACTAAGTTCACTACACAGAAAATCCAAAAAGCAAGCACAGATAACACGAGAGAGATTGACAATAACATCGCCGAATGGGACCATGATTGACCCTCGTGGAACCCCCTGAGAAAATCCAAGATGGCGACGACCGAACACACTGAGCTTCACAACGGCTCTTCAGGAACCGGAGGGGGACGTCAGCGAGACTGTTGTACAGAGTGTGGTTGTTACACACAGTGCAGACGTATGGATGCAGCAAACACTGTTCACTCTTATTACTTTCTTTCTTCACACACACACACACACACACACCAGGAGCTGACAGGATCAATGTGACCACACACTGCTGAGAACACTAACGCTGTTAAAGGTTACTGTGTGTGTGCGCAGCAGCCAAATTGGCTTAAGAAGCAGCCTGAGAACGACGGACAAGAAGTCATATGATCGCCTTCACACACACACACACACACACACACACACAGTTTACTTATTGAGAATGTCACGTGGCGTGGGACAAGGCGCTGATTGGTATTGACAGAAGAAGCAAGAAACCTCTAGGAATATCTTGCTGAGTAATCAAGTGGTCCAGATAAAAATAGGACATAAAAGCAGGCATCTCCATCTTATAGATGAATTCAGTTATAAATGGTACGCATTGGGGCTATAAATAAAATTGAGTATTTAATAATACAATGTGACTCCAATTGCTGTACATTTATTTTTTTGGCGGAGAACCAATCAATTTTTTGATGATGATATTTGTTGGCCCAGTCAACCATTGACATCACAGCGAGGATCGGGACCGTGCATATCGATACACTTCAACTCAAAGGCATCAAGGAAAACAACTTCCTAGGTCACACAAAACAGTCTAGGGCCACCAAATCACCATTATTAATTTATCAATTGTGGGTCGAAGATTTCATACTGTGTGTCCCAAATCTGGTCCTCGCCATTGCATACAACCCCCTGCTGCCTATAAAAAAAAGGTGCAGCCTCCACCAAAAGCAAGATGGTCGAAGTTCATTGCTTATTACATGCAACCAACATCGTAAGAGAATCCATGAAGATATGAATTTTAAAAAATAGGTATATTACCATTTTGAGCCAACCGTGGCACAGGACTGTGTTTATCCCTACGGTGGGTCTTCCTCTCTCCCCCCCTCACGTTTCTCGTCTCATGAAACAATCAGCGCTGGCATTATGATGATCACTGACTATATCTCTCCAGAAGAGTCAAACCACTTCTTGATTAACAGAGTACAGGTAGGAGAGGAGAGCAACAGGGGACTGTCATTTTAAACAGCTGCTGTTTTTGCCTAATCTTGCCTGAGATGTCGC